GAAGCTGAAATGGAACTGGCAGAGGCAAGATTGAATCGATCTGGACGGCTGACATCTGCGTTGGTGGACGAACGAATTCGATGGGAAGAGTCGACACGCGTACGACGATAAACATACATTTTTTAACGAAAAATTCGATATAACGGACGATAAGTAATTAATCTCCGCTTTGGAATGTTCAGGGATTCGACAAACAAATGATCAATCTGACCGGTGATACTCTGGTAGCTGCTGGAGCACTTGCTTATCTAGGCGCTTTTACGAACGAGTACAGAGAAGAATTGGTACACACTTGGTTGTCCAGTTGCAAACAGTACGACATCAAGACTACAGAAAACTACAATCTGATCACAATATTAGCTGATGCTTACGAGATTCGCCTTTGGAACACGCACGGTTTACCGCGAGATAAAGTCAGCACGGAAAATGCAATCTTCGTAACGCAATCGAGTCGCTGGCCTTTAATGATCGATCCTCAAGAACAGGTGATTATCCGGCAGTGTAGAAAATTGCTCGAGTTTAATCTTGTTTCTTCAAGCCAGCTTTATATATTTCGTTAAGGCGAATAGGTGGATAAAGAACATGGAACAAAATAACAACTTGAAAGTATGCAAATTGACGGATGTAAATTTGATGAGGATACTAGAAGCGGCCATAAGACTCGGAACTTCTGTATTAATTCAGGAAGTGGGAGAAGTGTTGGATCCTAGTTTGGAACCCATCTTGCTTAGACAAACTTTCATGCTAGTATATATACACATATAGAAAATTTTATCAAATTTAAACAACACGATACAGCGACTGTGAAATATTATTTAATTCAGGGCGGTAGAATGTTAATACGATTCGGCGACACAGATGTCGAGTACGATCAAAATTTCAAACTCTACATCACCACCAAAATCGCAAATCCTCATTATCTACCAGAAATCTGTATTAAGGTGACAATAGTCAATTTTACCGTAACTATGGGAGGTCTTGAAGAACAATTACTCGCGTATGTATGCTACCTTTACACTTTTAAAATAATACAATTTTAATTTAACGTTAAAATATCGTTCGTTTCTTTACGTTAGGGACGTGGTACGTCTCGAGAGACCAGACTTGGAAACAATGAGAAACGACTTGATAATGAAGATCAACGCTGATAAAGGGCAACTGCAAAGCATCGAAGACAGAATACTGACGTTACTGTACGGCGCAGGTGATGATATATTGGACAACGAAGAACTGATAGAAACCTTAAACGACAGCAAGGAAACATCCGCGATTATTGCAACAAGATTAGTCGAGAGTGAAGCGACCGAAGAAAAGATATCTGTCGCACGCGAAAAATATCGATCGGTTGCGAATCGTGGATCAGTCTTGTATTTCGTAGTCGCAAACCTTGCAAATATAGATCCGATGTACCAGTTCTCGTTGAAATACTTCAACCAAGTGAATAATTACACGATGAATAATTCAACTTTCGCGTTTAACTTTCTTCTATTTCTTTTCCTTCCTCTTCAGGTATTTAACACGGTAATTGACACGACCGAAAAAGAAAAGAATTTGCAAGAACGTTTAAAAACATTACTGAACGAAATAACGTTGGCCGTTTATACAAACGTTTCACGAGGTTTATTCGAAAAACATAAATTGATATACAGTTTCATGCTTAACATTGCAATACATATGAATGAAGAGATCGTGGCCAAAGCGCAGTGGAATTTTATGTTACGAGGTCCGACGACAATTGCCTTGGTAAATTATATTTTCAATAGAAGAATCAAAACTGACGTTTTTCAATATTCTAACACGCTTAATATTAATTTTTAACAGGAAGAGATGCCGGATTATCCAACTCTGACGGTCCAAACGTGGAATTCAGTACATTATCTAGCTTCCACATTCGAAAGCTTCAAAAACATTTTAAGTGACACGTTTAAAAAAATCACGTTAACTCTTGGATATTTCACTGAAGTAATATATCAGTATTTTATCTTCGTTTCCATCTTAATGATAAATAAAACTCTGCCTATCCTTTCAGGAAATTAACGTAATTCCTACGAATAACAAAATAGCTACCCATGACTGGAATAAATTATTAACAGACATTGAGAAATTAATGTTATTAAAAGCTCTGAAAGAGGAGAAATTGATTTTTGCAATCACAGCCTACGTGGCGACAAATCTTGGCCAGAAATTCGTGGAATCACCTATGGCAGCTTTGCAACTTCTGTATGCATGGAGAACTAAGAAAAAATATAAAAATGCTTTCAAAACTGGAAATTCAATTTACCAATTAAATCTCTTCAGATTTGCAGATACATCGAATAAAATACCACTGGTGTTTATACTCACAACTGGATCGGATCCTTTCAGCGCCTTTCAGAAATTCGCAAACGAAATGGGCTTCTCCAACAGGTACGACTCGATTTCTTTAGGACAGGGTCAAGGTCCTGTTGCAGAAGGACACCTGAGAAAGGGCACCGTAGAAGGTAGATGGGTCTTTCTACAAAATTGTCACCTAGCCACTTCGTGGATGATCAGTATGGAACAGCTCGTGATAGAAATCGCCGAGGAACCGGAAGGAGTAATTCACGCTGACTTCCGAATATATCTGAGTTCGATGCCGAGTACCTCTTTCCCGGTGTCCGTTCTTCAGAATTCTGTTAAAGTTACCAACGAACCACCGAAAGGTCTGAAAGCTAATATCAAGAGAGCGTTGTACGAGTTAGAAGAGGAATTTTTCGAGTATCACCGTAAGAAACCAACGTGAATATTAATAATCGAAGAATCATCGATAGAATTGGAACGTCTTATCTGAATGCACAGACTTGGGGGAGAGCTGGCGTCGAATTATATTCGGAGTTTGCTTCTTTCACGCAATTATCCAGGAAAGGAAAAAATTTGGGCCTCTAGGATGGAATATTCTGTACGAATTTAACGACAGCGATAGGGAATGTTGCTTGTTGAATTTGAAATTATTCTGTGTACGCGCTCAAATACCTTGGAACGCGTTAATATACACTACAGGTTTACGAAATATACTTTACAGATACTTTTTTTGTAAATATCAAATGTATTAAACGTTGTATGTTCGTTTTAGGTGAAATCACTTATGGAGGTAGAGTTACAGATAGTTGGGATTTGAGATGTATGAAAACAATTTTAGATATGTTCGTTTCTCCTAAGACTTTGAATATTAGTAAGTAACTTTCACACATACATATGTATACATATGTCGTATTTGGTAGTGTGTTCATTATTTTTACTAACATAAAACGACGTAGATTATATTTATTCACCATCTGGAAAATATTACTGTCCCATTTATACAACTCTACAAAAATACAAGGATTTTGTAGAAACTTTTCCTATAATCGATGATCCAGAAATTTTTGGTATGCATGAAAACGCGAATATTTCTTATCAGGTAATCAAAATCAGTTTGACAAAAGTAGAGTAATTTGTACATGCACTTTAATGGCTATTTCAAATATTTATGCAACTGTAACTATGCCAGTTGAAAGAAGCACAATTCATCACGAACACTATTCTGGAAGTGCAACCACAAGAGTCTGCCGCCGAAGAAGGTAAATCTAGTTCGGAAATAGTATACGAAATTGCAGACATGATCCAGGAAAGAATTCAGTTGAAAATAGATTCAACACAATGTAGTCCAAGTCATATGATTGTAAGCGACAAATCTAACTTTATAAAATGAATACTTTTAAAACAGGTGATACTATAGAATTTTTACAGAGAGATTCGGTAGGAAGACTTCCGTCCTTAACTACTGTCCTTATTCACGAAGTAGATAGATACAATTTACTCTTAAAGAAGATACACGACTCGATAGAAAATCTGCAGCGAGCCATCAAAGGTTTCGTTGTTATGTCTGAAGAATTAGAAAACGTCTTTATGGCTCTGGTCAATAATCAGGTTCTGTCATAAATTTTTGCTAAAAATTTCAATTTTTGAAACTCCTTTTAACGTTATAATTGTATAAATTAGGTACCACAAATGTGGCATGCTGTGAACGTTTATCCATCCTTAAAAAGCTTGAATAAGCAGTTTAGTAACTATTACATATTACAGATTTGGTTAATTGATACAAAACCTGTTTCTTTTTGGATTTCGGGTTTATCTTTTCCACAAGGATTTTTAACTGGCATGTTGCAAACTTATGCAAGAAAATATAATATACCTATTGATCATCTAAAATTAGACTTTATTCCTACCAAAACTATACTTGATCAAGAAGAAATTGAAATAGAACACAAAAAGACTAAACAGGAGGTCTTCTTCATTACACATATTTTAAAACAATTTAGAAAAATTCAATTTACTTTAAAAATTATTTGATATAATGGATATAATACTTTAGGTAATGGAAATATATAAAAATTTACAAGTACCAACAGATGGAGTTCTAATACATGGATTATTCATTGATGCTGGTAAATGGGATTTTGAATCCATGTTTTTAGTGGATGCAAATATAGGTGAAATATTAATTTTACGAAATATCTAAAATACCGATGAAATAATACACTATCTGAAAAATATAATTAAATTGCCTATTTAAGGTGAAATGCATCCAATACTTCCAGTTATACATATAAATCCAGTATTGGAATTACCAAAAGATGATCCAAGATATATTAGTCCTTTGTATAAAACAGCAGTACGAGCAGGTGTATTGTCTACAACTGGACATAGTACAAATTTTGTTGTTCCTGTTTTACTTCCATCTGCAAAAGAACAATCATATTGGATATTAAAAGGAACAGCCCTTTTAATTGAAATTATAGACTAAGCTCCCTATGCTTTATCTGATACAATAATTAAGAATTCAGTACTACACAAATTTACAATTCTATATATTTATATCTATGTTATATACATACTTTACAACATAAAGCTCTTAAAAAAATGTTAACATAACTGAGAGCATAACTTAAACTTAATGAACACAAAAGTTGAAAATATAAAGCAACATATACAAACAAATATCAAAACAATTCTGTTTGCTTTATTTTCACAAGATTAGCATGATAATTATAGTCGTCCTTGTCAATAGTCCACATCAAGGCCATATAGAATGTGAATATTGATGCCAATAATAATCTGTCCAATCTATAGAGCATGAAATATTAATCATTTATTTTTTCTTAAAATTCAAAGTATTGTAATACACTGTTAACATTTTAAGTATGTCTTACGTCATGTAAGGGTATATCCACAGAACTATAAGGAATCCTGTAAAACTTGGATGTCTCATATGTGAGTAATAACGTAGTAAGTCTTTAGATTTCATTACCATGGGACTTGGCCTGAATGAAAATTTATAATATACTTGTTTTATTCCAGCTAATTCAGATATATCCATCATTAAACATCCACTGTAAATTATTGACCAAGCCAACACATGGAAAGCGGTAAATGTGAACCATAAAACATTATTAGAAGATGTATTAACTTCCCATAATACAGTGGATGAAATGTTTTGCCATTTACTAAAAAGTAAATGAAGAGTCATGGCACTAGCAATATTATAAATACTTCTTTCCATGTAATCCATATGTAGTTTGCAAAATAAATGTTTCACAAACTCGGTAGCCATAAGAGAATGTTGCAGCATAAAAATGCTTAGTAGGGACATATTTATTATTAGCAACCATAATGTAGACTCAATGCTCTCATCTGTAATATCAATTTATAAGATAATATATTATGAGTCCTAAATATAAACCATTATTCATCTTTGAATAATATTTGAAGAAGCTACAAAATTATTAGTGCTATTAAAATTGTTATCATTTACCCTTTTTTAATGAAATAATTGTTTCTTTACTTTCATCATGGGCTGATAAAAAATATGTTAAGTTGCATAAAATATAAAAAGTATATAAAAAACAGGCAATACAAGTCACTGCACTAATATATTTTACAAACATTTTTGTATCAAGTATCAAACCTGTGTACGATTATTTTACATTGTAACCATTACAAACACAACAATTGCACATAAGTATAACCTACAAGTAGTATCTAAATCGAATCCTAGACTTGTTTACTAATACTTATTTACGGATCTTACAAATATCATTAAATTTATATAAACTAGATACGAATCTTTGTTCAAGTTATCAAAAGAGACACCTAGATCATCGTGGCGCGAATTCTTGTGATTTCAAAAAGTTTTTTACGTTGGATATCTTACGATATATAAAAAATATAATAAACAACTGAAACAGTTTTCTTGTAAAATCCCTTTATAGAATATAATAATATGGTCCTGGGACGTTGATCGTTTATTTTAGTTTAATTGTAATATAATAGGTTCTCGTAACTTGATGTAATGTAAAGTTCGGGCAACGCCTGTCGGAACGAATTGTCATCTATGACCGAGGTGTTTCGCATTATCTGTTTCATCAGTTTGGAATGCAACTTTCCGTCAAAAGAAGAGATCAGGTTAACTTTCATTCGTGCGGTTTGGAAATTTGCACATCAGCCAGCTGGCTTCTGAAGAAACTTGGATGGTACTTGTCAGTGTCTAATTTGTAAGTATTTAAAATGTATAATTTGCACACATGTATTTTTTGAAGAATGCAAATATATACAACAAAATGTTGTACAATTTTGCAACAATAGCTTGTCTTTAATTATTATTGTAACGTTAATACTCTATGTGTCGTCCAGTATCGTTGTATTTAACATTTAAAAAATAAACTATGCAATTGTTTGTTTCTTTTTTTTTTCATATTTTCTGCGTATTATTTATATCCGTAAAGCCAATAAACAAAAACTATAACGGTAATTTTTGAAGTACTCCAAACTTGTATACTTTTAATATGACTTTTACTGCATAATCTTTGCATCATTCAAGTATTTTTGTACTCGTTAAAATTAATAATATAGAATTATAAATATAAATGTAATTAGAAATAAAATTGGCAGGACACCTAATAAGTTACTTAAAAATAAAATAAAGTAATTGTTTAAAGACAAGTATAAAATAACTTCAACCTTGTATGTTGCATGGTTCATTGTCTTAACTACTTCACTTTTAATTTTTATTTTATTTTTTACAGCTGGTCCAAGATGTCAAATCCTGCAGAACGTTTAAATTATATTCAAGATAGTAGCAGTGATACAGAAACAGACAAAGAATCAGGTGGCAGAGGACGACATCGTATTTATAAGAATAGAATGAGGTATTATGTTTGTTACACAAAAGGCATAAATAAGTATAATGTTTATTATTAAACAAAAGGAAACATACTTTAGATATTTTTAGATTTTTTAGATATTTTACATTACTAGTTTAATTTCTTAGCTCACTAAAACAGATACATTTAGATGAGTAATAATGTTATAATGTTATCTGTAAGTTATTATATTTTTAAAACTTCTATTTTAACAATTACATGTTTAAAATGTAGCATGTATCTAAGGATGTTGTAATGCAGAATGTTGTGCATGTCGATTAATTTTTAAATTAAGAGTTAATTCTACTCTTTTACACTTCAATGTTAAATAAATTAAAGAGCAGTGTACTAAAGTACAACAATTCATTACATATTTCATACTGCTAAACATATTTATCATTTTCATAAAATTTACTTCACATCATATAATTATATATATTTTTTAATCATACTACATTAACTGTCTGTGACATCATTAGATCTTATTAGCTTATTGGTTTATATTTTTATTGGAAAGAACAATGTTATAACAGTAAAAGAATGAAAATACACACCTGAAAGCCTAAATTTTAATTGAGCTACTGTTATAATAAAATTTGTATGTACATACACTTATTCACTAATTGCAGTTAGTTATTGTATTAGAATCAGTAGGTAGTACACAATGCTTGTTGTCGAATGCAGACATTAGAAAGGTAATGTCGTTGTTTTGCATGTAGTTGTGGTGGCTCTTCCAAACCAAAATCTTGTTTGGTACAAAGGGATGGAAGCAATGAAAGGCACTGTCATTCCTTCAGTTCTGGCAGGCAAAACACTAGTGTTAATCAACAAAACAGGTAATATTAACAAATGAATGGAAGACTGCAAAAATAGTTGTTGTATTGTTATTTTCTCAAAATATTTAATAACTTCAAGCTAATGTTTGGTAGTATAAAGTACTTCATTATTTTATACTTTTGTGGATTCTATTTTTATTTCTTATATTATTAAAACAAGAGTCCAGGCATCATTATGCAAGAGGTAGGTGTCATACACACTTTTATCCAACACTCTGCATTGCTTTGTATGTTTATCAGTCATAATTCGTTTGTTTTATGTAGGTATTAATATTAAGTGATCATCAGTAGTCACTTAGAACATATTTTTCTTCAGAGTGTGCTCTGGAGTTGGTGTTGGAAAAACTCAACAATGTCAAAGTAGAGACAATTTACCGTCATCCGGGTCTATTACTGGTATCAGTAATCCACAGGCTAGCGATGAACGTATTACTCTTATCGTCGATAATACTAGGTAAATATCATAGAATACAATTTTAAGTACCGATGTAATTACACGTTAACGTAAAAAAAAAATGGTTGTTTTCAGATTTATCGTTGATCCTGCACTGTTCACTGCACATCCAAATACAATGTTAGGTAGAATGTTTAGTTCCGGTGTTGAATACGCCCAACCAAATGAACGCGGTGAATATGAAGTTGCAGACGGTATATCTGCCATGGTGTTTAGAGCTATTCTTGATTATTACAAAGGTGGAGTAATTCGATGTCCGCCAACAGTTGCAGTTCAAGAATTACGAGAAGCTTGCGATTATCTTCTTGTTCCGTTCGACGCTAGTACAGTAAAATGTCAAAATTTAAGTAAGTAAAAATTGTAAGTTTTTCATACAATTTAGGGTATAAAAAATGATGAAATGCATACGCTACTTCCCTACAATGATAGTACGGCATTATAGTAACGATAGGAGCTCTAGAAGTAAGATAATTTATCGTAGGGGGATTGTTACACGAGTTATCTAACGAAGGAGCACGCTGCCAATTTGAAGTATTCCTCGAAGATTTGATATTGCCCCTGATGGTGAACAGCGCACGTAGAGGCGATCGCGAATGTCACATTGTAGTTTTATTGGAGGATGACATCGTCGACTGGGACGAGGAATATCCTCCACAAATGGGAGAAGAATATTCACAGAGTAAGTGTGTGAAAGTTAGCTTTCTTTACAATATCAAGGTTCAAAATACACGACCTTGCTATGGTATATTGAATATATAAAATAGAAAATCGATAATTATCTCAGCCGTACTCTATAACACTTTATTGGTTATATCGAGACTCGTTCTCTTCATTAAGAAATGTACGATTTATTACACGTTAAAATAAGCATGTCCCTAACACAAATGTTTCTTTGTCTATTAACAGCTGTTAACAGTACTGCGATGTATCGGTTTTTTAAATACATCGAAAATAGAGACGTAGCTAAACAAGTAATGAAGGAACGCGGACTGAAAAAAATTCGCTTAGGAATCGAAGGTTATCCTACGTACAAAGAAAAAATCAAGAAGAGAGCAGGAGGTCGTGCCGAAGTAATTTACAATTACGTGCAAAGACCATTTATTCACATGTCCTGGGAGAAGGAAGAAGCGAAAAGTCGGCACGTGGATTTTCAATGCGTAAAGTCGAAATCCGTGACGAATCTCGCGGAAGCAACGGCTGACCCTGTACTAGACGCCGGTGGAAATCCAATAGCAATTGCTCTTTTGCAAGCAGCAGAACCAGTGCCTCAACCAGAAGTTGTGCTACCAGTCGGTTCGGATGCCGACGTCGAAGGTGCCATAGGTTTACCTACCGATCACGATCTTGGATCGATACCGCCTGATGAGTTATCATGAACGTCGATCGTAGATACGAGACTGAACAGGCACGAAAATCGATTACCAAGTATTTATGAACTGTATTCTTCTTGCGTCAATTTCTAAACTTAGTTAGACTCGCTTATCTCACAAATTTATTTAATCGGAAAATCAAGGCTTAAAATCGTTGATTTTCTAAGGAGAAAATCTTCGTGTTTTCCATATTTTTATAAAGTAATCGATATTAGTGTAATAAAATTGCTTGAATATAAAATGCGGTTCGAACAAAGGTACGAAGAGATTTTCCGTGGGTTAGGCAAGTCTGATTTTGACCCAGTCAAAATGATGTATAGTGAAGTTATCGCATCTTGTGGATGTTCAAACTAGTTTAAAAAAATGTTCGCTGCGACTTTTTCAATTTTGTATGTAACGTTAAACGTTTCTTAATAATTACACGTCAAATACGAAATAATAATTTGTTTGGTATGTATTTGCAAAAAAGCACTTTCCCGTTTTATACGATTAATAAAGTTGAATACTGTTTCCGAGTCTCTGCGTCTTCTCATTTACCTACTACTACTACTTCAATCAATGTAATACAACAATGTATAATTTTAGCATTTTTCTATTTTCACGTACTTAAACGTACTTCCTTACATCTGAAAATCATCGAAAGAAAAGTAATCCCTGTTTTTGCAGGTGTGAAACGTCTAGAAGGAATGGAACGTCAGGCGAAACAAAGGCGAGATAAGGGAAGTGAACGGTGTCGGAAAGAGGGAAATTTTCGTTGATGTCAGTCGATAAAATACCGAATTTTTGGTAGGAATGAAAATTGTAGGAGATAGATCGGAAAAGGTCGGGAGAAAAGGAGAATGAGAGATCCCGAAGATGTATAATGTTGAGAGAACGCAGGCGCGTGTACGATCAATAAATAGGCTAGCTCAGTCGAGGACAGGAGATCAGTAGCGTACGAACACGCAAGCAGTGAGGGTGGTAGCGTGTGTAATATTGTGTCGGGTGAGGCGTACGAAAACAACAGAGCACCCCTCCCCGGCGGACGGTGTAAAACGGGCTGCCAGCGGTGAGGCTGCAGAGCAGGCCGCTCGTCCAGCATGCAACCACCACCGAGAAAAGTAAGCCGACAAAGTATACCTACATCTTGTTACATGTCGTTTCTTTCGCATCTTACATCGAATCACCGTCGTATCTTCGTTGTCCAACTTTCTTCAACTAATTCACCCCTTTCTTTCAACTAAATCCCACTTTGTCGTTGACCTTCAACACCTTTCACATTGTATCTCGCTTTACCGGAGGAAATCGGAGGAAATCGGGTCTCATTAGACGAATGTCGCGTAACTTGGATGTGTACGAAAGAGGTTGATACTTTTCCTACACGATCGAGACACGCGAATTTCGCCGTGTATCGATCTTTAGCGACGTCTTACGGAAAAATTGACGTAAACGCGGCTCGAACGTTGCCACGATGGGAAAATCGATGCGCACTTCGGTCCTCGCTACGAATCTATATGAAAATCTGACCTGTAAATGTATAGAACAGGCCAAAGACCCGTGTGGTTAATATCGTGTGTCAAATCGAAAGGAACCGTGCGTACCAGCGGTAATGGGTAACTCTGCTACTTACTTTCCCCGCGATCTTTACTCCTCACGCTGACCGTCAACCCTTCTCAGATAGACGGATTCTCGTTGCGCGAATCTCGACCGTCCTGTCCCCGAAAATTTTCATCTGTCTCCTTTATTATGTAACGGTAACATGTTCCCACCGAAATCGATCATAAATTTTCAATGTAGGACAATTTTTTGGAGGCCATGTTTCTTCGTTAAACGTTGAA